TGGCTGCGCGGCGGCGTGGGAGGGCCGGCGTCGAGGGGGTCCAGCATGGTCGGCGGCGGCCCAGGCCGCGACATGCCAGACGCGGGCAGGCTCGGCCCCATCCTGGCAGAGCCTCGGAGCGGCGGCGGTGCGCCCGGGTGGATGAGGTCTGGAGCGGGCAGCGGTGGGCCGAGGCGCGACATCCCGTACAGGGACGTCGGTGGACCCGAGCGGCCGCGGCCCCTTGTGGGCGAGGTCGGGCCCGGGTGGAAGGAGTCCAGCGCTGGCGGCGAGGGCCCAGGCCGCGTCGGGCCCATCGTGGGCGCCGTGGGCCCTGGGCGCAGGGGGCTCCGCGGGGGGGGGGTCGGCCCTGGGTGCAGGAGATCCGAGGCCGGGGATGGGGGGCCTAGCCTCGACGGGCCGTACGCAGGCGGCGCGGGGCCTGACCGGCAGGGCGACCTCGGCAGCGTGGGCGGCCCCAGGCTCGCGTGGTCCAGCGTGGGCGGGGGCGGCCCTGGCCGGGCGAGGCCGTAGGCGGAGGGCGACGGGCCCGGCTGCGAGGGGCTCCGGGGCGAGGGTGGCGAGCCCGCGGAGGCAAAGTCCAGGGCGGGCAGCGGCGATCCAGGCCGAAGCGGCCCATACGCGGGCACTGGCGGCCCAGGCCGCACGGGGCTCTGCGAGGGCGTCGGCGGCTCCAGGTGGATAGGGTCGAGCGCCGAGGTCGAGGGCCCTGGGCGGCACGTCCCAGAGGCCAGCAGCGCGGGTCCTGGGCGGGAGGGGCCGCGCGGCGGCGGGCTGGAGCCTGTTGTGACGGGGTCCAATGCGGGGGGCGGGGGCGCCGTGCGCGCCGGGCCAGACGCTGGCGACGTCGACCCAGTTCGCGCGAGGCTGCGCGGCGGCGGGGGCACGCCTGGGTTGGTGAGGTCGGGAGCAGGTGGAGGCGACCCGAGCCGGGCCAGGCCGTAGGCCGACGTGGAACTGCCCGAGCAGCCATGGCTCTGCAGCGGCGCGGTGGGTCCCGAATTCAGAAGGTCCAAGGCCGACGTTGGTGGGCCAGGCAGTGTCGTGCCAGAGGCCAACATGGCCGGGCCAGGGTGGAGAGAGCTCCGCAGGGGCGGTGTGCTTCCCACAGTCATGGGGTCCAAGGCTGGCGAGGACGCCCCAGGGCGCGTCGAGCCCAATGCAGGCGGCGGCGGACCTAACCGCGAGAAAGACCTCAGCGGCAGGCTCAAGCCTAGATGGACAAGATCCAGCGCGGGCGGCGGGGCTCCAGGCTGGGAGTACCCGTATGCCAGCGTCAGTGGCCCAAGGCGCACGGGGCCCCTTGGCGGAAGCGAGGGACCCAACTGCAGGAGGTCGGGCACAGGCGTGGACAGCCCCAGGCGCGACAGGCCGTAGGCTGAGAGCGCTGGGCCGGGGCGCGAGGTCGTGCGCGGAGGCGGCGGCGGCCCTGCGACGACGGGGTCGGGAGCGGGCGGCGGCAGGCCCGAGCGACCCGTGCCAGAGGCGGGCGTCGGGAGCCCCAAGCGCGCGGGGGACCTCGACGGGGGGGGGGGCCCGGGGCTCGCAAGATCCAGCGCAGGCGGGGACGAGCCCAGCCTACCCAACCCGTAGGCCAGCAGCAGCAGCCCCGTGCGCGCGGGGCCTTGCAGCAAAGGGGGCAGACCGAGGCTGATGTGGTCCAGCGCGGGCGACAAGGGACCCAGGCGACAAGTGCCATAGGTTGCGGGCGCAGGGCCGGACCGCGAGGGGCTTTGCGGAGAGGGAGGCGAGCCAGGCTTCACCGTGTCCAGCGCCAGCAGCGGCGGTGCGGGCCGGGCCATGCCGTACGCCGGCGGCACAGGCCCTGGGCGCGAGAAACTGCGCGGCGGCAGAGGCGGTCCCAACCCGGCGGAGTCGGGCGCGGGAGGCGACGAATCGGCCTGCGCAAGCCCATAGAGAGGCGAGGGCGGGCCGGGCCGCACGGGGCTCCTGGGAAGCACCGGGCTGCCCACTGTGAAGGGGTCCGAGGCGGGCGTGCTCGGCCCTGGCCGCAACGTGCCGGACGCTGGCGGCGAAGGACCTGGACGGACAGGGCCTCGCGGCGGAAGGGGCGGGCCTGGGTGCAGAGAGTCGAGCACGGGCGTGGACGGGCCAGGCCTCTGGAAGCCATAGGCCGGCGGCGCCGGGCCCAACCGCATAGAGCTGCGCGCCGGCGGTGGTGGCCCGGTGTGCACGTGGTCTGGCGCAGATGACGAGGCGCCGGGGCGGCTCGTGCCAGACACCGGCAGCGCTGCACCTGTGCAGAAGGTGTATCAAATGAGGCCTGCTCTGAGATCCTGGCGTTGCAAAGTTTTCGAGCCGAGCGCTGTCGCTCCATTTCGGGCCCCAGGACCCTCGCAGATCGATCCAGCTCGAAAAGTGAAGCAGAAGGATGGGGTCCGGGGGTCCGGTCGCGATTTTCTGCGATGTTGAATGTTTGTTTGCACCGTCGGATCTCAGGGAAGATGTATCAGGGGCATATGAAGGAAAACTGACCTATCGACGGCGCGTCGCCGAAATGCATCCCCGACAACTGACAGCACAAGAAGGCCCCATTTCCACTCAGATGCTCAAAGAGCGCGGATATGTTGGGATAGTGTGATGGGCCAGTTCCGATGTGCACACTGATGCACGCATATACACGCACATGCACAGTAACGAGTGCGTAGAACGTGTAACTGAATAACAGTAGTCTCAGGACAAGATAGCATTTCGCATGTACACTTCGCATAAATATGCCGTACGCCTCACTGGCATGCAGTGGATACTCTATAATCCCACGGCCGCATGGCGAAGAGCCCCAGAGGGCACCAAGGAGGCCCCAAGAAGTTTCCGAGAAGTCCTTCCGCAGACTCTGCGGAGTTATAAAAAAAAATCAGACAAGGGTCACCGCCTGATCTCCATGCTGAGCATCGTTGAACCGATCCCTATTCACATTCGTAGCCTGGGCCCAACTGGCCGATTTGCACCCTCCTAGACTGGGATATTGGCGATTCCCTGAAGGTTTCGAGGGGCCTATCCCCAACTGGGGTGGTGGGATGGTGGGGCTGAGATGCCATGGCCCGTCGGGAATGGGGATAGGTGAAACGATACTGACCTAGGGCGGAGCCAACTCCGCGCACTCTTCCCTTCGCCCTGTCGGTCCCCGGAGTGACATCGAACTGTATGTATTTTGCTGGTGAGGGGGGGGTAGGGGAGGGGGCATTCCAAAGTCTGGGAGGGGTCCTCGATTAGGTCCCCCCCACGGAGCAACCCTGGCGGGCCCGTCGAGACTTCTTGCAGACACTGGGACCAGACAAGAGGGATCTCCTTCCAGAGCTGTTCAACACATGCAGCTACAGAATTCGGCAAGACAAGCACAATTGAGGACACAAGAACATCTAATGCCTGGGCTGCGCAACACACCAGGGCCCGATGGGCGACATCGGCAACTTCGAGATACTGCTTGCCCCAATCCCTTCGAATTCGCCCCTGACCTGTGCGGCAGGACCCTCTCGGAAGCGTCGGCGGGCCTGGGCTGACGAGATCCGGCGCCGAGGGCGGTGAGCCAGGCCGCGACAGGCCATAGGCGAACAGCGCAGGCCCGGGCCGTCCGAAAGCTCGGCACGATGAGGCGCTGCCCATGTTGACACCCCCGGACGCCAACGTCGCTGGGCCCAAGCGCGAGAAGCTCTCAGCCAAAGGAGGCGGCCCCATGTGGACGTGGTCCAAGACTGACGCCGGAGGTTCCGCTCGCGTGGTGCCGTACGCCGGCGGCGGAGGCGCCAGGCGAGCGGGCGACCTTGGCGGTGTGGTCGAGCCAATGCACATGGGGTCTGAGACCAGGAGTGGTGAGCCCAGGCGCGAGGCACCGTAGGCAGGCAGCGGCGGCCCAGAGCGAGCAAAGCTCCTGACAGGCAAGGAGGATGCAATCTCCTGACAGCCATGATCGCTGATCAACCCACCGACGACGTGGCAGCACCCTTGGGTGGACATCGACGGCCCGGAGCATGCGGAGGTGCTCAGCGGCAGAGGCGAGCCCGAGTTGACAGAGTCCAGAACCGACGTGCTTGATCCCGCCTTCATCATCCCGTACGCTGACGCTGCTGAGCCCAGCCAGCTGAGACCGCGCGACGACGGCGTGCTGCCAAGAGAGAAGAGATCCAGCACTAGCGACGGCGCGCCGAGCCGCTGCATGCCGTACGCCGGCGAGGCAGGACCAGGTCATATGGAGCTTTGGGGTAGCATCGAGCTCCCAGATTGACAGGAGTCGAGTGCCAGCGAGGGTGCGCCAGGCCTGTGCATGCCGTACGTCGGTGCCGCGGCGCCAGGACGCACGGGGCTGCGTGTTGACGTGGAGCTGCCTGGCTTGACTGCGTCCAGCGCCAGCAGGGCGGGACCCAATCGCATCGCCCCGTAGGCGGAGGCCGCCGAACCGGTCCGCGAGAGGCTGCGCAGGGACGTCGGGCTGCCAGTGCTGGCGCGGTCAGGCGCCGGTGGAGCCGAGCCCGAACTCGCCGAGCCGTACGCCGATGGGGCGGGGCCAGTGCGCACGGGCGACCGGGTCGGCGTCGACGGCCCTGCCAGCACGAGGTCTGGCGCGGGCAGCGCAGGGCCAGAGCGGGTCATGCCGTACGCTGAGGGCGACGGGCCGAGGCGGGAGGGGCCACGCGGAGGCGGCGGGGGCGCCAGGTGCGCGTGGTCGGGCGCTGGCGACGATGGGCCGTGGCGCGTCGTGCCATACACGGGCGGGCTCGGGCCAGGCCGCATGGGAGCCCTCGAAGGCAGGGGGCTGCCAGTGTTGATGAGGTCGGGCACGGGCGAGGGGGGGCCGAGGCGAGACAGGCCGTACGGCGGCGCGGTCGGGCCGCAGCGCATGGGGCTCCGCGGCAGCGTCGGCAACCCGAGGCTGACCGAATCCAGCGCCAGCGGCGGCGGGCCAGGCTGCGCCATCCCGTGTGCGGAGGGTGCGGGGCCAGGCCGCATGAGGCCACGCGGCGGCGGCAGCGGGCCTGAGTGGA